TTTTTAATTATGCTTAAATGTTGCAGTCGGCCACTGACGCTCCTTTCGTTTTGTTGATTGTTTATTGCGCTTAAACTTTTCTTCCCTGAACTTTGTTACAGTAACGTTTGATCACTTAAATTCTAGGGGCGTGATGAGACGCTTATCTCACAAGATGAGACGAGACACGAGATTGGATTCACGAGAACAAGACAAGACGAGATTTTTGTTCAGTACTATCCATTCCAAAATTCATGTCTGGAAAAATAGTCTGCAAGCGCATTTTGAAATGTTTTAGCTAATAATCTTGTAATTAGAGCCAGACAGATATATCGGCAGACCGATATTATGGGCCGATATTAGGCATTTTCCAAACTATGGGTATCGGCAGTTATAATGGCCGATAAATGAATATTTCAAAAATAAAATAAAAACAGACGAAACACGCTTGAACCATGTCATGAGTGTTGGAGTTGTATAGTTTGTCCACCAGAGGGCACTCTACACCGTTCCTGTTGGCAACACTCGTTGAGTTGGTCACGATTCATTGCTTGAATAACAATTAAAAGAACATCCGCATCAGTTCTCTGAACTCAAATAAGCAGGACAAAATTTGTGTCCGGCAGAAGTTTCCTTAGCCAGTTATATTGAAAATGTCCAAATGTTTTACAATTTGCAGTATGACGCTATCCATTGCTAAATTATGGTTCATCATAGACTAGCTAACCATAAAGCTAGCTAATGCCACTATCATCACTCTGTTCTGTTGTGACAATAAAAGAAACTTTTAGAAAGTTTCTTTTTAAAATGCATTATCATATTATTTTGGTTAACTCATAAATAACTACAAATGACTAACGTTAGGGAAATCTGTTAATGTTTTGTCACGCCTTTCTGAAATAAAAAATGTAAAAAAAATCGGCCGATATATCGGCATATCGGATTTTAAAACCAAAAAATATTTGTATCGGCCTTCAAAATCCTTTATCGGTCGGGCTCTACTTGTAATGCGTGTTATTTCATATCTACTTTATGAGTATGAATTATCAAATGCTTTGAAAGACAACAATATACAAGCGTTGTAAAAGGTTTCGCCACCAACTCAACTGACAGTCTCTTCAGTCCAGAGATAGGTTTGATTATTTGAAGACAAGCTATTGTGTGCAGACTAATTTGTGCAGCGCATCAGGAAGCTCGATTTTTACTTTCACTTTCGGATTGGCGATCACACATACTGTACTCCGTCTAGGGAATGGTGGTGCTGAGCGTGTATTCTACAAGATAAGAAATGAATCACATCCGGCTGTGTGTTATGCAACAAATCCTCCGCCATCGTCACATGATCAGTGAACTGTGACTCCTGCTGCGCTGTGTGAGACTGCGACTCGTGCAGGCGTTTACAATGGTTTTTATTTTATGTTTTTTAAATAGCAAAATGACAGTGGTGGGCACCATAATGTAATATGAATGTAGCGGTGGCATATTCTTTGCTAATTTCCCTCACACTTTGCTAGTTTCACGAGTGAAATCTCGATAAACCTGTATTACATTCACATTATTTTATATTTTATCTCAAAGAATCAAGAGGAAATATGGATCTTTTATGGATGAGTGAATGCATTGATGTTTTTAAAATGAATGTGGTGTAAAGCAGCGCGCGATTGCTAATGAGAGACAGATCTTAGCGCACACACTCTACGCGAGTCCCGCGGATATAAAGGGAAAAGGATATTTCATTCTACCAAACTGCTAAATTACTACTCACACAGGTCAGTTTACTAGAGGAATTAAACTTGAGGTAAAGCAGCGCACTGTAAAAAAAATATTGTTGGTTTAACTTAAAGTAAGTAACCTGGTTGCCTTAAAATTTTAAGTTGATTGAACTGGAAAAAGTGAGTTAATACAATGAAAGAGATTAATTTAATCATCAGAAACTCAAAATAATAAGTTATCTCAACTAAATAAATTATTATAAAGTTGATTTGACAAAAGAAAATATGTTGTGATGACAAATCTTGAAAATATTTTTTACAGTGTAATTGTTACACTGTAAAAAATATTTTCAAGATTTGTTATCACAACATATTTTCTTTTGTCAAATCAACTTTGTCACACTAAATGGCGATTTGAGTGTGTTGAATTTTGTTAGTTAGGTTGTTTGTTGGCTGTATGAGACTAACAGACATCTCGAAGGATTTGGATATTCTTTCTAGTCCTCTTTTTGTCTCAAAGTCCGCTTGCCATGGTCCATAATGTTTGAAGAAAACAACAACAGCGTGAGCGTCCTGCTAAGCATAACCCAGTTGTCCACGTCTGTCGCCGTGGTTACTATGGCAGTACGAGTGGAAACCGGGGGTAACGCGGATATGACGTCATTGACTAGCGTCTCCTCCTCGCCCCTGCTCACACGTCCCGTTTCCATGGTTAAAATAGCAATTTTCTTTCGATTTACATTGGAAACATTGGGGATATTTTAAGTAATCAACTAAATAAAATATATATGATATTGGCTTAGTGGATTTTGGATATTTTACTGCAAAAATCTGACATATTGTACCTTTAATGTGCAACATTAAGTTGTATCCTATTATACAGTTTTATCTAGTTCATTCAACAGTCAACACTTGTCTGGCTTTTGTCTCCTGACAGCTTAAGTGATTTTATCCAAACAGTGTGCATGTGTGTGTGTGTGTGTGTGTGTGTGTCTGCCTCTGACTGGCACTAAACACAGCCAGCCTTGCTTTTCTCTCCTCCTAGTCCCAGAGCTCTTCTGTCTGATCCCAGGCTCCCACACGTAACGATAACACTAGCCACATTATGTCCTGTGTGGAGAACTCCCTTTTCCAGAAGGATTTACACGAGGTTAAATCCTAATGTAACTGGTTGAGTTCTCTTTGTTCTCAATGTCCAGTTATATTACAAGAAGTCACCTATGCTCACGAAGGCTTCATTTATTTGATTAAAAATCCAATAAAAACAGTAAAATTGTCAAATATTATGGCGAGACACGGCAGGCAAAAACATCGTTTTTTTTTGTTTTTTTTTTCACTGGTCAATTTTGGGATATATTTGTCTTCAATAACATGTCTTCTTTCAGACTTGTGGTGAAAAAAAGTCCGAAATACACATTTAGGTCTTTATTTTACTACACTTTGTCTGTTTGTGTCTGTATATTTCTCATAGATTCTTCAAAAGTTGTCGTTATAAATCATCCTGCTGCTCAGCGATCGCGATCTCACACAGACCGTTAGAAAGCTCTCTTTCTCCTGTACAACGCTGTCGGATCCAAATATGTTCATTGTCTATTTATCAGTCTTTCCAAACTTTCCAGTCTTGTACCTAGTTATATTATGAAGACAAATTACAGAGGGATTTGTAAATATATTATTCGTAACCTGATATATATAACATTTTATTCCAAAAAACATGGCTAAAATATTTTTTTAAGGCAATTGGCAGTATATTTTGATTTACAGGATAAGAAAAGTAGATATCGTTTTTAAAATATATGCTAATTAGTGCATATTTAATTAGATAATGCCTCATTTGCATATTTAAACATTAAATTACAGAAAACTTTTTTCTCATTTTAATGTAGGTAATCAACTGGGAAAGTTTCATGGTGATATCAAAAAATTACCCTATTCACCCTTAGTGTCTCGCTTTAATACTAGTTAAAATAACTTTTTTTTAAATCAGTTTTTTAATGATTTTTATCACTTTGAAAGGTAGTTTTTAAAAAAAAAAATTCACTGACATTATAGACACTTGAGCCACACTCATTGCATTAGATGACAAATATCAGTATTTGTAAGTATAAGTGTAATGAACTCTCAGAAGTAACCATTCTATTATTTAATTCTTTTGGAAAGTAGACCTCTGAACTGTAAAATTGAACTGAGAAAATGACTATTTTGATATGTTGCAATCATGAGAAAGCTAGGGATGGGCAACGATTAATCACGATTAATCGCATCCAAAATAAAAGTTTGTGTTTACATGTGTGTGTAGTGTGTATAATTAAATTGTATATATAAATGGCCACACATGCATGTATATATTTAAGAAATATGTGCATGTATATATTTTATATATATTTATTCACAATTAATATTATATATAAATATAAATATTTGATATATTAATAACACATTTTTCTTAAATATATACATGCATGTGTGGGTATTTATATATACAAATTAATTTCTTGTTTTCTGGGCAACGATTAATCGCGATTAATCGCATCCAAAATAAAAGTTTGTGTTTACATAATATATGTCTGTGTAGTGTGTATAATTAATTTGTATATATAAATACCCACACATGCATGTATATATTAATATTAATTGTGAATAAATATATATAAAATATATACATGCACATATTTCTTAAATAGATACATGCATGTGTGGGCATTTATATATAGAAATTAATTATACACACTACACACACATATATTATGTAAACACAAACTTTTATTTTGGATGCGATAAATTGTTGCCCAGAAAACAAGAAAGAATAAATTGACAATGTCCTTATGGCTTCCGTAAACAATAGATATAGTTAATATGATGAATCTTAATTGCATGGTTTCTATAATGTGTAAACCTGACGAGAACTAACTTTTACTCGCATGTTCTTTATAAGAGCGAAAAGACAAAACATTAATATTCACCATATGTAAAGTATAAGTGCATATTCTCGTTAGATGTTACGAGGCAGTGGAGGAGAGTAAGACGATACCAACCACACTGTAACACTGTATTTCTTAATTTAAGTTCTCATCAGCGTAAGATAAGAGTTTTACGCCTAGGTGCTCAGCATCAATGTAAGTGTAGTGTGAGCGGTCTTCATGCTCACACACACATAAATAATCAGCCTGTGACGCCAACTCACTATCGGTCTCACTCACTGTAATTTGAGTCTATGACGTCACTTCCTGCCAGTCAAGGGCTCCACCTCGCCCCATCTCAGGTTGCAGCCTCTCTCGGGTTACACTGCGCCGTCTAATGCATTTCGGGAAATGAAGGTGTGTAGCAGCAGAGTTAGAGACTGGCTCCGACCTCCTCTGGTCCACCCAGAGTTTCCCTCTGTGAAAATCTGCCACCGGGAATGACTGGCATCCTGACCAGCTGACGTACTTCAGACAACCGGCGTGTGTTATTTATGAAGTCAGGGCTGCCGAGAGGGAGGGACCTTCATGCGTTGTTGACTAAGAGCGAGCGAATCACCAAAACAGAAGTTGTGAAGTAAGAAGGAGGGACGAAACGGTGAAACTTCTAGGATTACAGAGCGAGAGTACCTGCTCGCCGAGAATAGTGGACTTGTGTTGTGCCCTCCCTGCCGCGGGCCCCGGGACTGGCAGAGGACGGGGCACACGGGACTTGGGGGTACAGGGCAAGATTATGGGACAAGGAGCAAGTACTCAGACTTTAAACCCAAATCTTACCTACATAACCGGTGAGTTACAACTGGATTTTGGTTTGAGAAACTTTTGTAGGGTTTGGTTTGTAAGCGGTGCCAGAGCTGTTTTGCCAACTGTTGTAGTCTGAATTATTGCAGGTGTATGTTTGAGACAGGCAGGGGCATGGAAGTTGACGGTTGTGCAATCGGACATTCTCATGTTCCTGTCAGGCACGCTTCCTCTCGGATTAGACCTTACGAGACGATATGAGTACGTGCTTTGCTGTTGCTCTCTATAGCAGTCTCTATATTGCGTCTTTTTAATCATGTGTGAGGTCGAGGAGTTGTGTGCCGCAGGGTTAAAGGAGAAATCCTTTTGATTCGGGTGGTTTGTTGTTACAGTTTTCCAACCATAGAAATTTCAGCATTATGAATTTGATTTTGAACCCAACATGCAGTCTTGCCCTTCCTTCACTGTGTGCTTTAAGACAAGACGAACAAGTGGAGGCTCTCATTCAAGTCAAGTCAAGTCACATTCATTTATATAGCGCTTTTCACAATACAGATTGTATCAAAGCAGCTTCACAGTGATAACATGAAAGTAGTACAACACAGATCAATAATATTGTTAAATATTAAATATTAAATAACCCCAACTAAGCAAGCCGAAAGCAAGGCGACAGTGGCAAGGAACCAAAACTCCATCAGATTGGATGGAGAAAAAACCTTGGGAGAACCCAGGCTCAGTCCTCCTCTGGCTTACATTCATATTGTTTATATATAAATATTAAATATAAATATATTCATATGAATTCATCATTCATAAATCTATTCAAATGTACACTGTGAAAAATGATTGTGATTTTAACGGTGAAAGACTGTAAAAATGCTACAGTGTAAAACTGTTAATTGGTTAACAGAACCTTTCTTTACTATATACGGTAAATAACTGTGATAGATCTAATGGTAAATTTCATGTAATTTTACTGTTAAATACCGTTAAATTTACAGTTTTTAAAGTGAAAACCCGTAAATTGACATTCCCACAATTCCCTGCGTGACGCTTCGCATTTGATGTATATTTTTGTTGAAATAGCTTGTTTCTTCATAGTTTGCTTAGTCTTTTTCTAATCTGTTATGTACATTAGGGTTTTGTGTGACATTTAATGTTGTTAAATGAATGTTTATTTCATGTGTGTTACCATGATGGTGTTTAATGTTTGAGTAAATCACACTGTGCAGGTTCTATATATTAATATTAAGACTCTTGTGGAAGAGTTGCATTGTGAGCTTCCATATATCATGTGTCTCATCACTGCTGTGATTGTTGGTTGTCAGTGTATTACAATGGTTTAAAACAGACATTAATACTTCAATTGGTTGATAATTTAACAGTATATCAGATAATAAAATACGGTTTATTTCTGTAAATTTAAGTTAAGTCTGTGAAACCTTGTTATCGTATTTTATACGGTAAAGTTCTGGCAACCACAGCTGCCGGTATTTTACCGTAAATTGAACACTTTTTTTTTTACAGTGACCCCATTGCATGCTTTAGTTTACATGAAAATGGTTTAATTAATGATTTGTTTCTGCATGTATAGGTGTATTGAATTAACTGGATTTTTTTTTTTTTAATTATTTTCGATATTGTCAAAAACTGGCATATTACACACATTGATTTGATTGGATCATGCAAATTGATGCAGTTGGCAACTAGACACTCTGAAGTCTAAACTAAAGTCATGATGAGAGCGTAATATTGTTCTGTTTGAAATGTTTCACATAATGCTTTTTAAACATTTTAATAGTACGCAGAATGCTTGTATTTCCTTCCAAATATATCCATGAAATACTTTTACCAGTCAAAATACCATATTACATTTTACTATTTTATTTCATCTGCCTGTATTTAATGTTATATTTTAGATTTTTGTTTTCAATTTAAAATAATTTTAAATTGTATTCATAAATAATGCTTTAAATTATTCGAAAGTGACTGTAAAAAATATTTATAATGTTATAAAAGTTTTCCATTTCAGTCATGGTTTCCACAAAAAAATATTTAGCAGCGCAGATGTTTTCAGTGAATGTAATTGTGTGCAAATCAGCAGATTAGAGTGATTTCTTAACTGATGATGCTGAAAATTCAGCTTTGCCATCACAAGATCTTTAAATTGCAATAATATTTCTCAAAATTACTGCTGTTCTTGTATTTTTCATTCAAATAAATGCAGCTTTGGTGGGCACAAGGCTTCTTTCAAACACATTTTTAAAAAGGCGTATTATTACTGTAGCTTTCAAATAATCCCCAGTTTTTCAGTCGGTTTTCACCTTCTGATGACTTGTCATGTTGTTTTAAGGTGTTGCTGTGAATCTTCTGTTTGCACAATACTCTCCACTAGTTTCCACTGATGTTTGATCATTTGATTTTACAAGTTCACCTCTGTTTATTTATACACTAAGCAGTGTCCTTGATGTACTTGTGTGAAGTCCTACCTCTACCATTAACATAGCTGGATATTACGCTCCGTGTTTTCAGGACAGTCGGCTCTGATCTGATTCTCACGTTTGTCACTGATATGAGAGGAATGTTCAGCCTTCCTTACACAAAGAGCTCATTGATTGTGTGTGTTTGTCAGGTGAAGATCAGTGCTTGGGGTTGTTGGGTATATTGTGGCCTGTGCTCTTATTATGCAACGTTCACTTTGATTACTTTATTATTCCGTTTTGTCAAGGGCACGGTACCATGACAACAAGTCACATTGTTTTCTCTTGTCACCGTGCATTTCTTTTTCCAATCAACATGAGGACAGTGTTTAGTCTATTATATAAATCTGCATTGATTTTATGGGAAAAGTTGTAGAATTAATTCATTAAAAATGAGTGGTACATTAAAATAATAGTTTATAAATGAAAAATATACATTTTCACGAAACTTAGCAACTACGCAATGCCCTGGCAACAAACCACAACAGTCTAGCAGTGGTTACTTTTTCTCTGGCAAGTAGGCCTACCTCTTTTTTTTTTCATTGTATTCATAATAATATTTCTAAATGTTACTGTTTTTGTATCAGATAAAAGCAGCTTTGGTGAGCATTAGAGAGACATCACAGACAGTGTGTTTCTCTCATCGTGAGTATGTGACATTAAGAGCTTGTGGTCTGGAGAGATGATTGGATCTGTTTTTTTGCCTATCAGCCAAATCTTCATGGTAATTATGTGTCTTTATTGCTCAGTGGGAGGTTGTTGTAACACCGCCATGTCTTGTCGTTGTCAAAGCTAGACCTTCATCAGAGGAGCTTGTAGTTTTTGATATGAAGATTTGTGTACCCTTTTTAAAGTGTTTTTGTTGGAAAATCTAGGTCTGAAGTAAACTAGGTCTGTGTGTTGTCAAACACTTCCTTTATCAGCTAAGGGCATCTATGCCAATGGAGCTGCCAAAACCCATAAACATTCCAAACCTCCCTATGTGTCATACACAACTTGCCTTGCCTTTTCTTGTGTCTCCAGACAGGTTTAACGGTCTCTCTCTCTCTCTCTCTCTCTCTAACTCTAATACATTATAAACATCATTTGCACTCTTTCCTGTTACAACATTTTTATTAGGGATGCACCGATACCATCTTTTTCAGAATCTATTCGATCCCATACCAAACATTCTGAGTATCGTCCGATACCGATCCGACACCAATGCAGTTTTTTTAATCAAGTATTAGAATATAAGAATTTCTATAACTCTGTGTTGAACTGATAATCACTATTTTGTGTGTTAAACACAATCTACTTAATACAGACAACTTCGTTATAAAGATAAACAACAAATCCCCAAAATATATGATCATAATCTATGACAAAAATGCTATAAACTAGATTAGTGGACAATACACATTGCTCTTTGTATTGTTTTAAAATACATTTATGAAAAACAAGATGACAAAAATCAGAAAGATAAATTATTTTAGAAAGAGCCATGGCTACTATAAAATTGAGGCAACATGTTTTAAATGTATAGCACAGATGTTTAATGAGGCAGCAACATATAATAGATAGGACAGAACAAGAAAGGCTATTAATAATCTGTCATTGCGTCACTGCATTATGATATGAAAAAAAGGCTCAGTACAGTACGGCACAAAGCGCTTATGCGCATCCCGAGTGGAGAATGATGCGCTTGAAGCCACACGGAGTTCTTGAAAAGTTCAAAGCACAAAGGAGATGCATATTGATAGACAGTGTATTATACAGTATCTATTTATGCAATAGTTTATTGAGCCTTTTCTTTTAACAGTTTTAAAATTTCAGTTACTGTGCGCGTGAAGAATAGTGCTCTGACTCTAGTGTTGTGATCTAAACGACAGCGTCCGACACCTGGTAGAAAGTAGCACGATTAAGTCCAGCAAGATAACGTTTTTTTATGCAAAACCATAGACCTTTAGCTACAGATCAAGTATAATAGTATTAACATTGAATCATCTTGAAGATAGTTTCATCATTGACTGTAACCGAAGTGACGTGCTGTTTGAACACTGATGGAGAATGACTGACAACCGCAGCGGAGGGAAAAATTTGTGATCTTAAATTGACTTAAATGTTAATTTCTATCTCACATAATGGCTTCAGAACACTTATAATACAGTGCACGAAAACTTTGTTACTTTAGAATATTTTTGTGCCTTTTGTGGGGTTTAACAATAACACATAATAGTATACACACATTATAGGATTTGAATCGGCCTCGTCTGTTTGAGACCCGATCCGAATGAAATGAAACTGAAGCACATTTCGACACTGCATAATGTGTCTGTCCTTATGGCTACAGGTACTGGGTTTAATTGAAAAGTTTTGTAAACCTCACCTGGGTGTCGCTGCATGCAAATCCCAGTGAGCTCATGGCTTGTTTGAGTCAGAGTTTCAGTATCCATATAACTTTTCTGAATCTACCCCTGTTGTTACTTGTAATTGTGACTCATTAGGTTGTTGAAATGATTGTAATTGTTATGTCAATCTATTTTAGCAACATATTATACTTGCACTGTGTAATCTCAGACTATACA